GCAAAATAAAGTTGTTGCCTTCAACTCTCCTTGATGACAAGTTACCGAAACACGTCTCATTTAATTGCAGATGTATTTAAACGTGTTGATAAAAAATCAAGACCGCCAATACCTGAATGCTACTGAACAAGGACATACCGCACATATTTCAACATTTGAAAGCCACGATGTACAGATATATACCCTCAGTACCACGTCGTAAATGTTGATAGCAGCAGCAAAAAGAAATTTGAAAGAGGAAAACCCTTATGAAATGTGTGACACACGTAGCTACTTGTTTCGATATCATTTATGACAATACATCCTACGGCTGGAAACTTCCAATGTAAGTGACTATCTTGTGAAAATCTCAATTCATTGATTCTACTGATTTTTTGTTTGTTTCTTCAATGTCACATTAGTTATAACTGAACATATGCAATGAATACCAATACACAAAATTTACTATCTGTCTCCAATGCTATATGTGGTTGAGTGCATAGAAGTGCAGTTTTCATAGATTAAGGTTTAGACTTGCAATGAACGAGAGCCGTAACTGTTTTTTTGCTCGTTTTTCTACGACTGTCTACTATATTTTTAGTAGTAGAAACTCGGGGAAAACAGAACGCCCTTAAATTCTCTCCTAACATTAACTTAGCAACATATGATTACAAGATTCAATGAATATTTGGACAAAATTAAAGTCTAGTTTATAAATTCATTATCGTCTCATGTATCTTACCCTACAACACCATGCATATTTGCTTTGCATAACGACATTAATACGAAAAAAAAAGTAGATTCTAATGACTTTTTTGTTCAAATGCATAGAAGGATTACTTATTGTCTTTGTGAAAGGTGAAAAGCTCCTAAGAGGCCAATTACAAGAAAAAATTTTAGTCATGACGTGTTAAGCAAATGTTAACAACTCCAACTTAGTCACTTTAACGTTGTAGAAAGAAAGGTGAATTCTGTCTTTTTCCTGACAGATTACTGAAGTATGAGTTGCATGGAATAATCAACTAGTCTTAATGGCAGGCCTCGTAAAATGAAAGCTTTCAATGTAAAATGCTTTGATAACGATGTTAAGCCTTTGATCGTTTGAAACTTGTTACATCTTTCAAACTTAATCGACTAAAGCTATTCGTGCAATGTTTGGTGAATGTTCTACCATTTGGATAGTCAAACAGAAAACATTTAACAATTTGCTCATTCTCATTATATCTGATTATGAATTTAAAAACGCCAAGTAACGTCATATGTAGATTTCTTTATCATGAAATGTCGTACATGTGTTTCATATTTTCTAGTTTATATTGTAGATCCCACATGGATAGAGTTGTAAAAATCCCTTTACCACCTGTGTCATTCACTTCAATTACTCTTACTAGTTTGTCATTACTCATGTGTCATGGTGATTCATGGCCAAAATGTTCATTTGCAGTTTGGATTCTTTTTGGATGTCAGTTGTTTGTTCATATAATGATGATGGGCCCCATTGTTATATGAACTCACCTAAAGGTGGTCAGCTGACATTCATAGAAGATCAAATCTGCACTAAGCATTCTTTGAGTGATGATATAACTGGGGTTTTGAAGTGATCCCTTTCCTTCGCTTGAAATTACCATAAGAGTGCATCGTAAATGGTAATCTATTAAAATGGCAATTCATAATACCAGTTACGTCGATTACTTTGTGTATGGAATGGTATAAACGTATTGAATGGACATTGCATAACGGCATTTGTACGTGTGAACATTAAAATTGAAATGATTGGACTATAATCTACGAAGATGGAAAACAAGTGAGAGGAAAAACATGATCCATGTCTTGTGGTTTGTAACTTGAGAAGATAAGTATTAAAATTAACTTATAGCTATGAGTAACTGCATGAGATATTCAAAAATGATCCTGATGGTCTATTTTTTAAAATTGAACTTTAGTCATGAAAAACACCCATATTAGCTAAAAAAAAGTCAATAAAAGATGCAATTGCTGTGAGAAAATAGCTGGCTTTCACTCTCTACTTTTTACTAATTTTATTAAACGTTTAGAAACAAAATTGCAATGCAGCAAGTAGGGTTCATTGAATTTTTAAGATAAAAATGTTACAATAAAATTCCTACGATATACACGTAAAAACTGCGCTGTGAAAAAAGTGGAAGAGACTTACTAAGACGCCTGGATCAGACGGACCAGAACAATGCTTGAAAATCAGGTATTAAAGTTTTGTTCTTTTCAAAATTTATAATTTCTGATTTTATTCATTCATTATGATGACATTTATAATATGTTTTTTATAGAGTACCTATGTCTGTAGACGTAATAACTAGACATTGAATGAACAATCAAGTTGACAGAAGCACGAAGAAACAAGCATCCTTTTTGAAAGATTCTCACTTGCGACTTTACTTATGCATACTATTAATCAGTATAACGCATTTTTAAATTCAACCATGAAAAATTTCCGTAAAACTAAATTTTCACAATTGTCAAATTTTCGGACAAAACACACGAGTGAAAGCCAGCTATTAATGAAGGTCTTAATTAAGCAACATAGAAATTTTGATCGAATGAAATCTAGTCGACATCAAAAATAATTTGTATGCAAGTCTCGACGTCACTTTGGTCATTTCATTTTTCATTGTTATTGGTAAGTGAATGATCAGGTCGAACGTACTGAATGAATTTTTCATATGATTTATGTATGAGCTGCTATTAGTTTTTATGTTTTCGTCTATTCATTAAAGTTTTTGTTAACATTCTGCACTCATTTTTTGTTCTCTACTAAAGTTTTCGTTTCTTTTGTTCAAACACAAAATATTTGCTGTGTCAATAAATAGGACAGTCAGCCCACTTTTTTGTCGCCTTTTTTTGTCGTCGCTTTTTCTGTCGCTTTGTGAATTTAAGATACGAACGCCGAAGCTACGATCTGACTACGCTGCATGTTAAAGTAGATCATCGGGATCATTGAAAACAACAAAAATAAAAAACATCTTAAAACAACAAAAATTTTACTAAATTTTTCTAAATTTTGATCTTTTATTTATTGGAGGGTTTTTTACCGGATCCACCGGTTTTCCCTCCCATTTCGTTTTGTTTTGGAAAAAAAACAGTGTCCACATTTGGGGCCAAGCGAAGTTATTTGTCACAACCTTATTTATTGTAGCTATCATGAATATTCACGTTTATTTTTTATTTCTCGGCCTTTGGGTATATTTCTCAAAACACTGCGTTTAATAAATACAATGGCATACATTTTGAAAAAAAATATGTACGCAAGTTTTCTGTTCTGTCAGATCTTCCAAGACAATTTTTTTTAACCTTCTGCTTTAACCGACTCAGCGAGAATAAAAAATGATTTGGAATACCTGATACAGTATGGAAGTGTGATTTTGCGTATTTAGTGTGATTTGTAATTTAATATTTACACCAAAATTAGTTTTCAGTAAATATTTTAATTATGTATTTCCAAACTAGTGTGAAATCATATATTTATTGCGCAACTGTGACGATGTTAGCAAGTCATGTGCCTTGTATTATCAGCCAGAGCCTTTGACCAGTGGCTGTGAGTAGTGTGACAATCCTCAGCCTTTCATGAAGATCTCAAATTGTTTATCAATGGAAAGGAGATTTATTCTTCGAATAATAGTTATCCAACTTTCTTACATTCGGCCCCTGGTTAATTGTGAAATTGTTTGCTTAAAGATCATATTTAACTAAGAATTGATCATATGAAGCTCAATTGATATTCATGCGAATGTTGGTTTGAGATCAATTAATCCTTTTATGTTGTTGTATCTTAATCATCTATGATGAATTCCTGTGATGACGTTATAATCTCATGACATCGTTGACACGGAATGATTGCATGACCAGTAGAAATGTAAAATTATTGTGAAAGACAAGCATTTAGCAATTTAGTATTTCCACCAAAAATAGTTTTCAGTCAAAATTTTGATGACGGCATTTCTAAATTTTTGTGAAATCTTATTTATGACGCAAATGTGACGATGTTAGCAAGTCACGTGACATGTATTATTAGCCAGAGACTTTGAACAGTGACAATGGGGAGTGTGACAATCCCTATCTTTTGATGAAGATGTGAAAAATTTGATCAAGTGAAAAACAGATTTATCCTATTGATAAAAGTTATCCACCTTCCGTGCAACCGGCCCCTAGTGACTTGTGCAAGTGTTTACATTAATATATAAGATCGTATTTAAGTAAGAATTTATCATATGAAGCTCAGTTGATATTCATGTGATTTTTGGTGAGGTCAATTAATCCTTTTAAGTTGTTGTATCTCAATTATCCATGATGAATTCTTGTGATGATGTTTCAATCCCATGACATGGTATACGATTATAGGACAGGAAGAAAGACACATACTTAAATAGAAATAGCTCTTGTCAGTTTCTGTTTTCAATACCTTTAAATTTAGGACTTAGGAATGTTAAAGTGTAAGAGCAACCTTTAAAGTAATAGTTAAAACTCCTCTGCTTATTCTATAAAAATCACTTAGATTTACCACACGGTGACAGATGTCAATTTGCTCATCAGTGCAAGCTTTGATTACATCCATTTGCAATTGACCGTGCGGTGTACATAGATGAAATGCATGTTTGTTACAGTTTTAAAAATTTTAATTATTAATGGCTAAGGCGTACAAGTTAAGTAATGGAAGCTGTAGTTTTCATACCATGAATTAAGGGACCGTAGAGCATGAACAATGTGATGGATTTTAGTTGAGGTAATAACGTCAAGTTTTGAAACTAAAACAAACGCTTAATTTATGCACGCAGCACGGTCAATTGAAAACGTGCAATGCACGAGATAGTTCGTAAATGTTTGTTTTAACGTCAGAGGAAAAAATAAGAAGTATATTTCTTGCCACGAAATTTAAATACGCGCACTCCAAGTATATATACAGCTCAGTGTCATAAAGAAAAGTAAAATTCAATGCAAAAGATACCATTTAAAGAGGTATATTAATTACTCAATAATTTTCATAAAACAAATAACTTATTTCAAGATATATATTGCCTTACTTTTTGTGTTATATATGAAAATCTAAATAAATGAAAAAATATCCATTCCAACCAGTCAAGATATAGAAATTCGTAATCATGGAAAAGGTTATACATTATTTTATTCATTCATGTGTTGAATTCCATCGGACAAAACACGATTTGCCAAACCCAAAACACCCAGAACCAGAACGACAACAACTCCCGTCAAAACAACAAATTCCATTCAACCAAGGACAACAACGGTAATTTTTAAAATCGATCTCAAAACTATGAACTCGACAACATTTTGTACCATCCGGACACCATTGTGGCACTCCATGAATTTTTCCACAAATTACACGATTTACATTCTAGAAGAAATTTGATTAATGATTTGAGTACATTATTTAAGTCATTTTTGATATAATGACACTTCCTACATTTATAAATATTTCTATTTAGAACTAAGAATACTCAAAAAGAACATTTTTACTCTTATTGATATTTCAATAATGAAAATTTGTGTGTTCGATAATAAAATCTTCGTTTTTTCCAAATGTTTTGAGCACATTACTTAAGTCGTTTTACAATTATAATGCGTGGCATATTTTACATTTAAAATAATATACTTTAAGATATTCTCAACTGTGATTGGTAGATTGCTGTGTGTTTTTTGGTAATTACCAATTTACCATGTGAAAATGTACAATTGCAATGTAAAGCTTTGAAAGCTGTCTTTAAACAAAGCATTTAAAAGTCTCTAGTATGCATATTTATGTGAACTTGTTCTAGAAATTACACCATTGCCTTTACTAATGATTTCTATTTCAAACTGAAAAATATTTTAGCTGTCTAAATTTTTTCTTCTATTAACATTGTGATAATTAAAACTTGTTTGTTTGACATTAAAACTTATCTTTTCTTAAAATGTGTGTCCGAGAACATGGTTTAAAGGTTTGATTCCAACTTACAAGCTCTATATTAGTAACAAATATAACAATTTTCAAAATAACTAGTTACATTGGAGGCGTACGGAGGCTTCTATCTCTGGCTAGAGGTGTGTTGTACTTACCAAAAATGTTATGTATTTAAGTAGTATTTATGTAGAAATTTAAAGTCTAATGACAATTGGTCAAGTAAAGTTACATTCTTTCAAGTCCGTGGCTAAAGATATTAAAGTGGTTTGTTTTTTAGCTGCAAACACCAAAGACACAAGATTGAGAAAATCCAAGGAGTCTGGGGTTGAACCCTGGGGCAACTTTAATCTCCTGAAAATCGTCATTCACTGTATTTTTAATACACATTTTAATAAAACAAGAAATAAAAGTAAAAAAAGTGAAAATGATCAATAAAAGGCTTTTTGTACAAAGTGAAAATAACAAGAAAACATCTTTTCAAATGTCTTTAATTTACCTGCCCTAAAAGCACTTACTTCTCGACCTTAGAGGGAGTGAGACCTGTAGTGACGTACATAACGTGCGTATATTATTCATCTAGATTTGTGTATTAGCAATAGAGAAAATAGCCAATCCTACACTTACTCAAACGCGCTACTTAAACTTACGCACTTTACTTTATAATTACGTAAAACTACTCAAATTTCAAGTACATTATCCGCCTTGTAATAACTGCACCTTGTTTAGCCAAATATTTAAAAAGCCTGTAAATAAATTGTGAAGTATAAAACACTCACGACTGTTGTAAATAACTTCTTCGCTAGTGAATAAAATAATCACAAAATTTAATAGCGTTCTAGTACATTGAACTCACGTTCAGAGCTCATACGAAAGACTTATATATAACGCTAAACACCCACCCCAAAGTCCCCAGCAGGAGTCCCACGATCGATATGCCTTTGACTTCGTACTTTATTACACTGACTGGTTAACGTCTTGATTTAGCATCTCTATTTTTGAATGACATGTTCTTTGTAGTTGAATATCAAACGTTTGGGCTCATCATTGTAAGAAAATCATTGATGCAAAAAAACAACTTTTGTATATGACGCTTTAGCGGAAACATTATTAGTAAATATCACAACTTTTACCGTTTTTGAACCGCCTGCGGCACACAAAAAGTTGATCAGAACCCAAACGTTTGTCTACTTTTCATTAAATTTCTTATGACTTGTTTATGATTATATGACAGAAAAAAAGACGTAGCAAGTAAAATATAAAGGTTTAACTCTCTGACACTGATTATCAAAATGCGTTTACTTTGTATTATAAGTTGTGTTTGTGTTGAGAAACCAGAATTATTAAGCCAGTGCAGTGAAGTCAGTGCAACAAAGCCAAAAAGCAGAACTTCAAATTCATAAATAATTTTTGTGATCGACTGAGAAAATTGTTCTTGCTCTATAGAATAATTTTGATTGCTTTCATGTGACTTTCGTTGGTTAGTTCATGGTTATCGACTTTGCCCCACTCCTTATTATCAAATGTTTACGTTAGATAAATATTTAGACGACCAACCTCTTTGTACGTCTTTTGAAATAATGATTTCGTCGGTCTTTCCTTCATTTGCTTGTATCGCTCCATTTTGACCAAATCAATAAAAACCAGTAAATACAAAATAATGTGAGCTCTTTTCTTTACTAGAACAAAATGATCAAATGTATTTCTTTCTTAACATATTACAGTTTATAGCAATAATGTTGAAATTACCTTTTCTTGTACTTCTTTTGTAGCAGGTAAAATACAACAAAATAAAGTAGCAATAGTTCTGTTTTCTTCTTATATTGATCTACTTTGAGGCTGTGGTGACTTGTGCAATGAAGTGTTTTTTGTGAGATTGTATTTAAAAAAGAATTGATCACATGAAAATCAAACGATATTCATGTGAATGTTGGTTTGAGATCAATTAATATTTTTATGTTTTTGTATCTTAGTCATCCATGATGATTTCTTGTGATGACGTTATAATCTCAAGATATGGTATGATTACATGACTGGAATAATGTCATATAGTAAAGTAAAAATAGCTCTTGTCCTTTTCTGTAGCTAATGCGATAATACCTGAAAATTTAGGAGTTTGGAAGTGTAAGAACAACCTTAGTTAAAGACATTAGTTAAAAGTCTTCTGGTTATTCAAGAGGTCAGCAGGGCAGAGTAAATCATATGAATATATACCCCCCCCCACCCCCCACCCAATCAACGGTCTAGTTTTGCCCCTGACGCAATCACTGTGTTATTTGAGAACTTAAAAGTCATTTGAATTAATGTTTGAAGATCATATCTTCAATTAATTAAAAGTCATTGTTAAGAAATCATCGTAAAAACGAGAAAATTGATTTTATTTTTATGCCTTACTACAATACAACATATCTACATGCACTTTATCATTTAAATTAAACGAAAAATGTTGGAATATTAAAACAAGAAATACATCTACTTGAGTAATTGTATGTCATTTATGATTAAGTTGAAAACTGCAAAAAGCATTCATTTTATTGTGAATTTGCATTCTGAAATGAATGACCAAAGTATATAACCTACGATGTTCACTTTTGATTTTATTTTAATATCTTGTGTTATGTTTACATACGACGAGGCTGTGGCTTAAAGCAAGATTAATCAATGGCTTAGTCATCCTACTAGTTATGGTATTGCATAATGCATTGTGAATTTCAGACGATTTTCATTGTTTAAAAAATCACTTCTTTTAACACTCGCAGCGAGTGCACATGGAAAACGGACAAACCATGAGTCTGATTCTGATGGCCAGAATTAGTCGGGTTGTCAATTCTCAATTCTCATCATCATAATGTTGTCAAAATAAAGACGACCACAACATTAGTTATTCAGAATTTTAAAGTTTTGGTTCTTCTCAACCCAATCCTCCACCATTCACAGTTGCTCCGCATACTTCCTTATAGTCACGTGATTAAATGGAATGAAACATGGAAAGATGGCGGAATTCCAGTGGAATAGTAATTCATAGAGATACCTTAGTAAGGTTTTATTTTCATTCCTTTTGAACTTTTAAATCATTCAGTCATGCAGAAGAACGTGAAAACAAAGAACGTGTTCCTATCTGGTGCTTTACAAAGAATTCTACTCGATAAAGAAACAAAAAAGTCTCATCATTCACAAATAAAGAAAGCTTGCGAAACGGCTTTAGGTATAAATCCATAAGTAATGATTGTAGCTATTGCTGATGTATTTGGATTCTATTTGCTCTATGTTTTTATGCATTGTCAACCAGTTTCTACATTTGCTATCAACAAAACATTAAGTGTAGTAATCTTTCATTCAGGATGTCAAAGAACGCTGTCGATAGTATCTTTAAAATTGCTCAATGTATGATTTGTACTTTTTTATACGTGGCAAACACTTATTTTTTAGTGTCAATTACTTGTTCATGTTCTTCTGCTTGAGTTATATGTATATATGTTTATGGAGAAATGTATGTCAACGTGTGCAATGAATATAATGTTCTGCTGTGTTCAGGAATATTGCTTCACAAAATGATCTCTTTATGATTTTGATCTATTCTAGAGGAAATAAACGCTGTTCAAGGAAATGAAAAATCTACAGTGTAAGTTTAATTATGTAAAGTTGTCCAATTTTCTTTCCAATTTTTTAATTTTAACATGACCAAAATAAGTTATTAACCTTGAATCTTAATTAATTCACAGCTATATCCAGACTACGCAATAAATTATTCTATGAGCATATCTGAATTAGCTTTATCATAAAGTTTCTTTTTAAAAAGGGAAGCTGATGAAAGTTTACGCATAGTAAGAGGTAGACTGCTCCAAAATCGACTTGCAGTGGCAGCAAAAGATCGCCCACCATCATTTTGTCTCTTCATTTTGGGCAAACAAATAGTTATGTCTTTATAACGAGTATTTCTATTGTGGTGACTGGCATTTGTTTGTACAATATCAATCATATAAGATGGACAGTTACCATAGAAACGTTTATGACAAATCATGGCCTTTCTAATTTCCACTTCCTTACTAAAAGGTATCTAGCCCAATTAGGAAAAGAGTGGAATACTTCTATCGCGTGTTGAGGCATCTAGAATTACACGAGCTGCTCTCTTTTGTAATTTTGTAATTTGATCCAAGTTATCTTTTGTTGTATTTGACAAAACACAGCTACCAAACATCATAGCAGATTTGATAGTGGCATTTTAAAATGCAATGCGTTCAACCAATGGTAGATAATATCTTAACTTTTTAAGAAGGCCAATTCGTTTAGCTAATTTGGAACATAGCTTATCAATATATTTGAAAAACCTAGGTCTTCATCTAAAATGATTCCCAGAAGCTTCTGGTGGGAAACCTGATCCAACATAATCCCATTAATATGAACACACAATGATGTAGATGAATTTACCAGTTTCTTTGCAATTCTTTTTCCAGTGATAAGCATAGTTTTTGATTTTGTAGAGCTAAGCACCATTAAATTTTTATTTGCCCACGAGTTCAAATTAGTTGTATCCTCTTGTAATGTGCGTTCAATAGAGGAAACATCTGAGTAATGATTAGATTTAATAAGAGTGGTATCAATGTATGAATGTTTACATGAGCCCAACAATATTGACCTGCTCACCACTGTGTGACTTCATAGCTAAGTTGGTCAGAGCACTGCACCGGCACGCACTGGTCATGGGTTCGAATCCCGTTGAGTCACCTGATTTTTTCAGGTCCTGAGACGATTGCTTAAATTGTCCAGCAAAGTGCGAAGATCATATATTCATTTAATATCTTCATTTAAGAGTGGTATCGTTAGCAAAAATATTCGTTAAGGCGTTTTTTATTGATTTAGGCAAATCATTAATAAATATGATAAACAACAGGGGGCCCAGGACTGAACCCTGTGGTACACCACAATCAATAATAGTCGAAGCAGAGGAGACGCCATTTACTGACACGTATTGATACCTGTTTGACAAATATGAGTTGAACCATTTGATGGAATGAGTACTAAGACCGCAGGCTTTAAGTTTACGCAAAAGTAGTTTATGATTCACCATATCAAATGCTTTTTCAAAATCACCAAACAGCAAGCCACTAGGATTGTCATTATCAAGATCAGATAATATCTGATCAACAATATTAATAAGAGCCATTTCAGTAGAATAGCCATTCCTAAAGCCAGATTGCAGAACATAAAACATGTCGTTGGATTGAAATTCGCGAACCAAACAATTATAGACATGACGTTCAAGAACTTTGGAAATTATTGGTAGCGTAGAAATAGGTCGATAATTATCTGGATCTGTAGCATTTCCATTTTTAAACAGGGGTAAAATTTTAGCTGTTTTCCATGACTGTGGAAATTGACAAGAAGTAATACAATGATTGAAAAGCTTTGACAACGACGATGAAATAATTGGGGCAGCAGTTTTCAAGATCTTTACACCAATATTGTCTGGACCAAGGGGTTTTGATGAGGGAATTTCTTGAATTATTTGAATAACCTGCTCAGCACTTATTTCAGGAATATCTAAACTCAAATGGCCAAAAGATAAAAAATCGTTATCATTATAACAGTGGTATCATCTAAAAGATTAGAAGCCACATTTGCAAAGTGCAGATTAAGCGCTTCAGCAATTTTTTTGTTATGATGGAAAAGAGATCCATTAAATAACAATTCTTTCACTTGAACGGGATCATTTGTATCACCAGAAAGAGATTTGAGTATTTTCAAAAGCTTCTTAGGATTTTTACGATTTTCAATAAGAGATGACTTGAAATAGACTTGTTTGGCTTTAAATACTGAATGATTTATTTTATTTTTAATTTTTCTAATTGACTCCCAGTCTTCATGGGAACGAGAGGATTTCGCTTTTTTGAGAAGCATATCTCTTTTTCTCATCATTGAAGATATATCATCAGTAAGCCATTTAGGCTTATTCACCTTTTTAATGCGCTTAGAAATTAATGGGGCATGTTGATCAAGTATATTATTGAGGAGAGAGTACCACATAATTACAAAATCCTCAATATCATCGAAGATAAATGATATATCCCAAGGAACATTTAGCAAAGAACTCCGAAACTTTTCTTCATCAAAGTTTCTCATATCGCGATAAGTCATAACAGTATGCGTTTGCATAAATTTCCCACAAAATTTTTTAAAACGACGCAAGCAACATACAGGTAAATGATCAGAAATAAAGATATCAGCAGTCGAGCAATGAGATAAAATTTGGGTCTATTTGACCAAATATGATCGAGTACTTTACCACTGATTGGACGTGTAGCATCGATAATATGTTGTTGAAAAGATAAGGATAACAAATACTTAACCAAGCGATGATGCTTGGAATAAGTGTCAAGATAATCGATATTAAAGTCCCCAAGGATTAACGTTTCTTTACCTTGCATAGAAGCATTTTCGATATTCATACCCAATTGAACATCGTAATTTTTGTCGGAGTTTGGTGGGCGATAAATGCCACCTATAATGAGACTTCTCTTCGACTTAAATGGGCACAATTTCATCCACAAAACTTCCAACTCGATTGTTTCCAAGTCATGTTTCTTTTAGCAATTAAATCACGATTAACATATATAGCAATACCACCACCATTCAAAGTTTTCGAAGTACTATTCCGATTCCTTATATATAAGTC